GCCATCATAATCCCCACTAGCCCTGTGAATGAGTACGCGCACAATGCCTGATTCCTTACCTTTAAGATCTCACATCGATGTCAGCCTTAATAAGAAATCATCTCGACCGGTGTCGAGAGGGGCGAGATGAGCCTGCCTTTGTCTCTCCCTTTTCTCAATGGTGATCGGCTACTAATTGACATAGGAAGCAGTGTTGAAAACGCCACGAGTAGGCTGATTTCAGACCTCTTCACATGGCGCCGACTGATCGATACAATATCAACTCTATGGGGGAGGATCGCCCGACCCACCTCTAGTAGTGTGTTGGAGCCAGGGTACAGCATCGTTGTGCGAAACCCATCAGCGAGGGGGTCGTACTCAGCTGATAGGGAATGGGGGTGGGTCGTAAACACAGGGTCGGTAGGCGCCACACCGAACAGCACACAAGTGTCACCGCTAAGTATGATGGAGCGGAAAGCTGCAGAGGATCCGGACGTAATGAAACTAAGAAATATTAAAACAGTTGGTTAGCAATACCAATAGTTAGCATGAACTCGGTCAAAAGGATTCCTGCGTATTGACCTTTCCAAGCCCTAAACAATATCTGCTTGCATGGACAAAAATCACCTAAAATCAGAAGTTACACCTTTCCACCACCTCTGCGTAGAAGCGTAATGCACGGCGCACACTCGGACCAAATCGATCGATGATAACCAAATTATGCTTTGACTCAGTTCAACGGGAATATATGTGTTTTGAAGGCATATTGAAGTTCGCGAATGAGTATCCTTACAATGGCACAGAAAAGTCGAGCTTTTGAGTGGCTCAGAATGTCGCCCAAGGGTGACCCATCTAAAATGTCGTTCTAATAAAGCGGGTCAGGAAGACTGTAGAGCTTGTTGGAAAGAGGAACTACTATGGGTTATGATAGCGTCATCAGTTCTGCAAAAGTTGCGCTTCAAAGGAGTTATTCTCATCTGAAGCATAAAAACCCGCTCGCGACTATCTCACCACTAACTCGTCCGCAAACCATCCGCAGCTTTCACGAAAGGGGGAAGATTCAGATTGTGAGTAGGTGGAAAATCCAATAGTAGGGGCATTGCTTCAATATGCCGTCTTCCATTTCTCAAGTTCGCCCCACACCTTATGAAGCCATCACCCAGATAAAGCGCCGCGATTTTCAACAGATCTGCTCCACCGCTAATTTGCCATGGAATCATAGCGCGGCTGCAAGCGCTTGCGAGTCGTTACGTGTCCAGTACATTCTCGTCAGAGCATACAATTACAGTCGAAAGGGGAGGGGGTACCAGGACTCTTTCCTGGGGGGGGGGGGGGGCGTCGTACTGACACTGACATTTCGCACATAACGATGCTGTATCCTGATTGGAACTACGTCCAAGCGTCATCATTTTGACTTTCTGATATATAGACCAATTGCTCACGGCGAACACCACTACCATCCTTGACCGCTAGCAGTTGGTGTTCAACAAACTGCTTGCATCACCATTCTCGTCTATAGAGATGTCACCCATTGCAAATTGTTGCACATAGCGCAGGCTCGAAAAAGAACATTCATGAAATAGACTTTGCAGCTGCTGGAGGCTGCAACTGCACCTCAGTAGAGCCTCTAGCTAACTGCTGCAACTGCAACACAGTAGAGCCTCTAGCAATACTCGTTATCAGCAACAGATGACAAATCTGTATTGTGAATTTCATCCTCATCAAATGGCTATACACCTGTAGCAGCCCGTACGTGGTACTGGGAGAAAGTCTCACCATCTAGATGAACTACCACTGGTTATATGTCCACTAGAAGTTGGTGCTGCAGTCACACCTAGCATCACCACACCGACCTTTCGATGCGAGGACTACTGCTGCTCACCGAGCGCATCACCGTCGCCTCAGAGCGGTCGGTGTTGCACCCACACCGAGCATCACCATATCGGCTCTTTAACACGTTGACGACATTAGGAGCCAACGGTGAATCCTAAGTAAATGGAATAACATGGGCGCCATTTTGGCGCTATCAGTCTTTTTGGCAGCGAATTCGATATAACCTTCCATAGCTCGATTATGTGACATCCTTATTGACCTTATTTCTATGCAGGCATTGCTGACCTAGGTCAGGTACCTCGAGAGTTTTCCACGCAGATGTTTGCGATTCTCGCGTCAAGACCGTGACCACGATCTCAAAATCGTCCATATTACCAGTTCGAACCCTGTGAGCGGCAGAAGACAAACGAGACCTTCTTTTGCCTTTCAAGTGCTCTTTCACCCTCACGCAGACTGGTCGCATTGGTTCACCTCACAAGTACAATAGGTGGTCTCGTGGATCACGCCTGAGATGGTGCAGTTGCCCTCTTCCAGTCAGATAGACTACACAATTTACCGTACGCCTCTGAAGAAGTCAGCGCTTCCATCATGAAGTGTCTTCGGGGGTCTGGTTCAAAGCACAGCAGCCATCAATGTGCCACCGAGTAACTTAAAGCACCTCGTCTGCGCAATCGGCGGCATGCAAGCTGCTATAGGTGCGTGACCATTTGATGAGGGAAGTTTACGATAAGGACTTGTGTAGGGAATCCGCTGTTAACTGCGGGTATTGCAAGAATCTGCAACACTCGTTCACTCTTGAGGACGACGGTGCTCGCCGTGGGAAGTAGTGGGCGATGTTTGCCATTTCAAAAGGTTAGAATGGTGATGCCAGGAGTGGGTGCGACACCACGTGGTCGAGGATGATGGTGATGCCCGCCGTGGGCAGCGCTGCTGAGAGTGAAAAGACCAGTATGATGATGCACACCATAAGAGTGCTCGCAATACCAACCGTCGATGAACACATCAGCAGTGACAGTGTGAGGTGTGCTATGATTCTGCGTCTGTATGTGCAACTTGAGTGTGGATGATGATGACAACAGGTACAGCAAACTTACTGGTGGGTAAGGTAAAAAGTGGTCTGGGCGTGGCTTGTTGCTGCAACTTTTCCCCGCCTCCCCCACCTGGAAGCTGAGCCGAGCGTAGCGCGAAGAAAAAACTTGTCCAATGCCAAACATTTTCTTGCTTACGTCGCCAAGATATTAGGTCATCCATTCAAAGTGGCCGCTGGTTTTTTTGTATAAAACCAAGAGGAGAATAGATAGAAAAGTGATATTTTAGCTTTAGGATGAGTAAATCCCTCCTTCACCAATGACCTCCCAGTGCCCCGAGGGCCTTTGGACCTCTGGTACCTTCGATTTTTCAACAAGTGTGAGTAAATTGCTGTTGTTGCCAATTTCGGCAAATGACAAAACATTGTAGCGTCTGCCGTCGAAGAGTACTCTCTACTGAATAGAACAGTTGTAATCGCATGGCTTTATGACGGGCGAATGGGGCGATTGAACTCAGGTCTCAGTATTGTTTGTGTCCCAGCACTGATCTACAATACAGTTACTCGGGGTCTGGCACTATGACGAGCAACGGTGGCCTTCTTGTAGTTGTGTGGTAGCATCCATTTGTCGATCTGAATGCCGAGGAACAGGCAATATGCACCGACAGTGACGGATTTGTCCTCTGTATAGCCGCTTGAAAGCCACAGTGTGGGAATCCTTTGCTATGATGATCATCCACTTGCGCCCACGTAACTCTTCATGGTAGAACTCGGGCGGCTTCTCATCTGCATTCATAGAAAATTGACGATTGTGAGTTTCGACTCGAGGTCCGAGACCACCCATATTTCATCTAGGGCCGGGGTGCGTTTTCACAGTTGACATCTCATGCTGAGAACATTACTGCTGGAGGTATAGAATCGGTACTGCGTTCGTGCTTCTATAAGAAAATTGGGTACCCATGCGCCACCCTCTTGACCATCCTCCGTTTATCGGACATAACTCGGGCAGCAGTTGCAGCTGGGATGTCAGACTCGCGGGGAAGCTCGACAAGGGTCCAGGCTCTGTGATCAGATATTCAGTGCCTGACTTCATCCACCCTTTTTCTTGTGCAGGATGAATATTATGGGACCACCCACGACAACAAATTTTTTCCTTTCTTCCTTGTACGGGCTCCTGAACCAAATCTTCCACCGTGTATTTCGAGAACACCCTTACACACAACTATGGTCCGGCGCAGGTCAAATTTGAGCAGCGCACTTTCCTTTTATGACGTCTGATTTGAAAAACCGGCGCCGATTTTCACCACTCGGGCTTCTCTTCAATTTCTCGAGAACTTCTTCAGAGGCTAGGTTCGCCAAATTTCACAGATACACAGCTTAAGGTACTAGCTTCCAAATGGTATAGTAGCCCGCTGCTCTATCCCCTTTGCTTTTCTGCCATTCCTCTATATGTGTCGGCCACTTTGAATGGGATGACCTAATAGAAAGTAGAGACTGCGTCAAGGAAAGCTCATTCTACAACTCCGAATGTCACATGACGCCCCACCGTGTGAGGCCACATTTAATCAGCAAAACTCTCGGATTATATTGTTTAAATTTACGTTGTATTCACGTAGCTGCTCAAGAAGCGGAGGGAGATAAAATGCGAAAATACTAGAGCAACAGTTTCACAAGGAGCAAAACATATGATAAAAGAATACATGCCGATTAAGGGACAAAAGAAAGTGGAGTAAACGTGAGTCTCATGAGAAGTGTTTGGCCATGAGCAGGATGACTCCTAGAACTATCTGCACTCTATTAGACCTCGAAATTCACTAGTGTCAACTCTAATTTTCTTGATTCTTCTCTTATCAGAAGTGGAAATTAATCCTTTCACTACAGTAAGCAGTAACGAATATAAGCAGATGCTGATGGAGCGGCTGACACCTAGCGATGGTGAGTTCTTCTTTAATTCTTCGGAAGCTAACATTGTTGCATGTAACCACCATTCCAAAATGACTGAATGCTTTAGAAGTACTTGGTGTTTTTATTCTGCGCTTACTTGTTTCGAGGAACTTCTGCATCCGAAGCAGAAGTGCTGGGTTGGTGAATACTTTTCCCCTCAGCATTCTTCAGATAAAAAATACTACCATCAGCTTATTGATTCATTCTTACAGCTGCACTGAAAGCTGAGGAGATTCCGCTGGAAGCGCAAGTGCTGACCGGTGAAAAGCTCGTTGAATATCTTCAGAAGAACCAAAAACTTTTTGAGGTAGACCATGGTCCATTGGAATCGATGACAACATCCGCCCCGTAACTGTCCGCTTATAGGCTGAATTCACACCGAGAAGTCATGACTTCAAGAGTAGGCTAATGGATTTGAAATTCGTTAACCAGAATAAGAACCCTGTTGTTGACGACCCGCAGGACAACGGCGCGGACATCCCGGAAAGGTATGTTGCAAGCTCACGTTCCTTAATCTTCTGCATTCTTTCTGGGGCACGAGTTTCAGCCCACTTCCAACTTTTATGAGGGAACTGAAGGCTGCTACTATATTTTGAGATTCGCCTTCTGAAGTCAAGTCGGAATCGATTAAAGACACGTTCCGATATATGCAAGGGCTATAATAGCCTCTCACATGTGTCAGGCCGGTCGCGGCAGAAACCCTGGTGCTTGCATTCCCACTATGCCTGGCTAGCAGGCCTGCAAGCCTACACATTTTTGAGAGAAGGCTGATCTTTCGCCTGGGGATTGTAAGCTGAGCAATATTGACTGTCAGAGAAGAACCGACGCAACATTGGTTGGCATGTGTCATATGCTCACCACATTTACAGCTTCGATGGTCGAAAAGTGTGGGCCAATTGCACTTCGCTCTTCTACATCCGTGACCAAGCGAACTGTGGTGCGTGGCGCCTACTTAGTTACAAATATGTTTCCAAAGTCTTATGGTCTGGTCTTGCATGGAAGACTAATATCACAGCCCTCCAGGTTCATGTTGGGCCGTCTCGTCGGCAGCTGCGATGTCCGATCGCCTATGCATCCACTCCAAAGGAAAAATACAGGTACAACTTCATTAGAGAAATAAAATTCTTTCTTTGAAATGCATGAACAAATTTAAGGTGCAAATCTCAGCTGCAGAGCTGGTGGCATGTTGTTCACAGTGCGGTTATGGGTATGACGTTATAAAATCTCTTTTTCTACGAAGTCTGGACGTTTTTGAAGAATCCGTGAACGGCTATTGTTGCTGTGACATTCATCGAATTTGGTGAAAAACGTGGTGACGCCAAACTGGCATCTGTTGGCGGCAAATGACGCCAGCGGCGGGAATCTACTCAGGAACCAAACAACCTCTATAGGCGCAGTTTCAGCGAAACATCCATTTAATTGTCAGGGTTGTAATAGTAGAACTGAGCGGATCTTTATCACTATTCGGTGAACAGGGCAGCAAAGCTACCAAATACTTCCTAATAATTGATCGGTGCTGTCCCGTTACGGAGGGTTTACCCCACCCCCCCCCCGCCCACCCCAACGGGTCGTACCGAGGGAGAGAAAGGGTTCGTATGAGCTACAATTTTTGTCCTGATTGAGGAATCTCACCTGAAGCTATCGCTTTCTGCGCCTTCGCTTCAAAGCGCGTGAATTGTCCTTTGCCATAGTAAGGTCCCGCCCCAACCATAATATGACTGAGCCCAGCTCGGACGTCACTACAGTCTCCCATGGTTAAACTCAGAACTACACTCTGAAGTTAGCAGCAAGCGGACGATGAGGGTCGAACTGTGACTCAACATGACTGATTTATGTCATCATACCACTGAAAGTGACACCAGGGTTTATTCAACAGGAAAAATAATATTTTTTTGATTCAGATGTGATGGTGGATGGCCAATTGAAGCTTGGAGATATTTCAGCTCTGCGGGTATTGTGACCGGTGGAAACTACAAGTCGAAGGTTAACATATCAACCCTCTCATTTTACTGTGTATGAAGAAAAAAAAGGAAGATGAAAGGTTGATAGGGGTGCTGCCGTCCTTACGAAATTCATCCATGTGGACACCATGGAAATGAGCCGTACTACGGAGAGTGTCCCGACAATGCGCCTACTCCGCCATGCAGGAAGAGATGCCAGGCCGGTTACCGCAAGTCATTCCCAAGGGATAAATACTTCGGTACGTGGCCGATAGCTTAATAGCATCGAATTTCACCGCTATATCTTCAACATTTCATCGAATTAGTGTAGTCACGTTCCCACTGTTCATAATTCGCGAATTGCTCAAACATTTGGCCCAGTTTTGCAGCCTCGTTTGCCTGGATTTTGGGAAGGGGCTCTGGGTGGACACATCTTACAGGTCCCACAGGGTATACTGGGATGGATATCATTATGTTAAGTAATGGAAGGTGGACGTGTGAGCCTCGCTATGAAGAAAGGTGGAGCTAGCCGACGGAAAACTGCAGTGAGTATAATGGGAAGTGCTGTGTGCATTTACTGGACGGATACACACGATTCAGTGCGATAAGGGGTGATGATGTGTAGGAATGACTCCGAAACCTATAATTTTGTCAGTTATGCAGTATAACGGAAGGGACGTAATGCGACATAGCGTGGCAGACCTCAACTAGTTTTACACCACTTACTTTTGATCGCGAAGCCTTTCCAGCCAACTCTTTAAGATTGTGGCTCACAGATGTGTCGAATCAGTTGGTCATCGCTTGATCGATCTGTTGAGCGAGTTTTGAGCTTCAATCACTTAATAATTCGGATTTGCAGGCAGAAAAGCTTACCGACTGCCGAATTCGGTGAAGGCCATTCAAAGAGAAATCATGACCAACGGACCTGGTTGTCGCTGCGTTCACTACATATGAAGATTTTGCATACTACACAAGAGGAATTTATAGGGTAATAGTTCCACAGAAAAGTTCCACTTTCTTCTAGAGACTAAAAATTTCCCATACGTAAGTCCATGTGGAAATGATGCCAAAAATTTGCTTACAGCACAAGGCTGGTAGGGCAGAAGGTGGCCATGCTGTGAAGATTATCGGATGGGGAACGGAGAATGACGTACCCTATTGGATCATTGCCAATTCGTGGCACGACGATTGGGGAGAGGATGGTGAGTCTTTTCGAATGCTGTCAGAATAATGGATACGGGAGAACCGGGGAAGTTCCAGTCCTCGGGCACTGAAAGAAAAACAACTTGAACATGACTAAAGACAGCCCCCGCGCTCGAGTAGTACATGGTCGTCCTTCCTTGTGCAAGTAGTTCAGCCCCCAAGCTAGAGACTGTCCCACTCTCGCGACTCCACAGCGAGCGAGGAGCGAGCTACAGCCGCTGAAAGTTCTAGTTCTAACGCCCGCCCAGTTGGACCGCCCACTTGCTAGATGCCCTCTGACGGAGAGCCGCTCAGTTGTTCTTTGTTGGGGCGGCGGGCATTAATCGGAATTGCATGCCCTTTTTGCTGACCGCGCTCGTGCCCATGAATGATTCTGCTCTCCTTTATTACATTTTATTTATTAGGAGCACATACAGTCAACTCCAACCCATCTTGCAAGGTAAAACGCGTAAAATCACGAGCGACCCAATTTTCGTGGTGCAAAAGCTCGACGCACCACACTACACTAAAATGCACGCTACCGTAACCCTAAATTCAGACGCCTAGTTTTTGAGTTTCTTTTTCAAGGGTTTCCGTGTTTTGTTGTTTTTCGTATTCTTTTCATTGCATTGGATGATACCCACTACTGGGAGATGTGATAAAGGAATTGTGAGCCAGGGGTTGCACAGAGACCGCAGGAAGGTGTGACTGCCAGGGAGCAATTTTGTTTGTAGTGTTCTTGAGGACTCTTATTGCTTTTTTTCTTCTTTGGGGAATTATTTATCATACTGTTTCATAATTGCAAAGCAACTATCCATGACACTCCTTATCGCGGGAGCTGTCTTCAAAGTCGAAAGTCAGTTCGGGCCACCGTACAGCATTCTAACTGGTCGTTTTGTAGGTTATTTCCGCTTCATCCGTGGAATCAACGACTGCGGAATTGAAGAGGATGTAGTTGCCGGATTAGTCCAAGGACAATAGTGGACTAGCGCTTCCTGAATGAACAAAACTGAATAAAAATGTAATGATTGTTTTGTAAAGAAATCACTCCGTGGTTCGTTATCACGACCCATATGTTTGAGAAATACGTGGTCTTGAAATGGAATTTGTTATGAGGAAAAAGCAAAAAAGGAAGTAGTAACACAGCGAAAGCCAATTAGCTGGAAATGGCAAGGTCTAGCTTCAAAGAGGATAATGCATCTGTGGCTCAAAAGGACTGAACGCATAGTGAACCAGTAACTGCAAGCTTAAGGCCCGGAAAGAATACCATTAACTGATAAGATTAGTTCATGATTCAGGCTCAGCATGTTAGATTTTCGAAAATTGATTGAGCCTTGAGATCAAGTTTTATTGTTAGATCGCCGGACCAATAAGGCCCCAATCGCTCATAATCGTCCACGGATTCGAATTCGGCTACACTCTCGGATCTGACTAAAAGATGGCCTCCAGGGATGGTCGAACCTCCTAAACTTGAACACCTCACCTGTTTGGCGTGAGTATTCTTTCAAGGTGTACTTCGGGCGCTAGCGCACTCCAGCCTTCTCTAGGCGACGGCCCTTTTTGTTCACGTTCGTGCCATGTGTACCATGATTGCTGGCTCATAGTGCTATAGATGTCTAACACTCCGATGTGGATAAGATCTACTATGAAGATTTGTGTGGGAATCTGTTGCTGATTGTGAGTACTGCAAATGTCCTAGGGACGTAGCCATGGATTGTGCTACTGTTGCAGGGAATAATCCACTAAGCAGTCACTACTCTTGAGAATGACGCTGGTGACCATTGTAGGCGGTAGTACGCAGTATGTGACAATTCAAAGGACAAGGTGATGCGATGAGTAAAATCAGCATCACATGCTAGTGGTCGAGGATATGATGGTGATGCCCGCCGTGGGCAGCACTTTACTGTGATTCACAAAACCAAAATGGTGATGCTAAGAGTGAGCGCAACACCATCTGCTAGTGGTTGACGATGATGGTGATACCCACTGCTGGCAGCAGTCCGCAATCAGGACCAAGCATCCGCTGAGGATTTTCAACGGCGCGTTTGTGCTAGGCTGGCTGGAAAGGGAGGGGTCATATTTGAAGGAGTCTGTAGCCAACAAAGCTGTGACAATGAGTAATGGATAGGGATCAAAAGTGGAGCCAATGAATGGAGAGGGTGCCTACCCCGGTCTAGTGAGTAATCTTGGTATATCTGCGTGCACCTGGCAAACGGATCATGAGATCTTAAATTTTGCGTTAGCGTGATGTACATAATGCATTCCATGGCGCATAATGGAAGACCGCCCACTAAAAGTGCAGGAGTGTCCGTAGCGCAGTGGTAACACTTGCCGCTTGGAATTTTGGGAGCATCGAGGGTTCAGACTACTTCAGCTTTGTTTTATCACACTAACCAGGGGAGTCCGCCAACTTACCATGGAACTTTGAATGGAGACCTGGGTAGATCGATAGAGTCTATAAGGTTATTTACAAATATAGATAGCAAAACTGCAACTGCATTTCACAAGCAACTTATGAGCAGGTAAAGTTTGTAATGGTGCAGTAGGGTGGAGGCTTGGTGGTGAGCTGTGAAGCATAAGCGAGGAATCGCATACGTCGAATCGAGTCGTGGTGGTTCAGTGGTAAGGTTCGACGTTCGACGACTCGATTCGACGTCCTCGCTTATGCTTCACAGCTCACCACCCTGCTGCACCACTACAAACTTTACCTGCTCATAAGTTGCTTGTGAAATGCAGGTTGCAGTTTTGCTATCTATATTTGTAAATAACCTTCTATCGATCTACCCAGGTCTCCATTCAAAGTTCCATGGTAAGTTGGCGGACTTTCGTGGTAAATGCTTCTGTCTCCATTGATTTTCTTTCGATGTGGTGCTTCATCAGCGCAGGCAGATCAAGTGCTTGACACCCACACGTCGAACAGAGAAGTAGCCGAGCAAGTGAATCCCTTTTATGGGCCGCAGCGTAGCACCTCATAACGAACTGTGTAATCGCAAGTAAAAAACGTCTGTGGGTGTAATCGCAAGTGAAAAAACGTCTGTGGTCGCACCCCACTTTCCTTACACCCTCTGGACGTTCTTCTCTTCGAACGACACGAAAATCGTTGTGAAAAGGATCATGAGTTCCGTTGTAATAGGCTGTGTGGACACCTTGCCCTTCATTAGAATTGTCCAAAGTTAGGGTCAAGCTGTAGATTGCAAGCGAGCACAAACGCAAATCCCTCCAATTATTTAAAGGACTCCTTGTAGTTTATCTCCTTACGCATGTATTTATACCCCTTTATAATACTAGCGACAGTTTGATTTGGGATAATAGATGTGACGGATCACGGGTTGTATGCCAAGTTCATTCACACACTTTCGGGACCATGACAGCACAATCATGATCGATAATCTCATGAACTTGCCGAACACCTGCCATCTAAGTAGTCAGATGAACCTGCCGTTCAATATCACATACAGGCACTCACGAGTCGCATCACCATTCTGGCCTTTTGAAGTGTCAAGCACTGCACACACTTGCACACGGCGAGCATCACCATCATCGACAAGACCGAATGTCACTGTTCCACGGCTGCTATAGGTGAGTGACCACTTTATGAGGGCAAGGTTCACGAGAAGGACTTGTGTGAGAAATCCGTTGCTGATTGAGATAATTGTTGAGTCCTACTGATTTGCAACACTTGCGTAGCGTGGAACAGTGACATTCGGTCTTGTCGATGATGGTGATGCTCGCCGTGTGCAAGTGTGTGCAGTGCTTGACACTTCAAAAGGCCAGAATGGTGATGCGACTCGTGAGTGCATACTCTAATGATCAAAGATGATGGTGGTGCCCGCCGTGAGCAGCACTGTGCTGCTCGTCAAAAAAAGCTTAATGGTGATGATGTGAGAAGTGTTGGCAATACCAACCGCCGATGAACATATCACCAGCAGTAGCGAGAGGAGTCCCTTAAGTTCTGCACCCACACGTAAAACTTGCTCTGGGGACTTGGATGCTCACCGTAGGTGCGCCAAGGCTACCTATAGATTCGTTCGTTGCGTATCTAGATATTTCTCGTGATCATGTTGAACTGAAAGCAAGAGCTGAGATGATGGGATAAAGAGTCACATGATGTGTTCATCCGCACGAGCCCTGCATAGTTATCATAGCACAATAAAGTAGGTGGCACACCTACATTCCTGAATCAGAAAAGTACTATTATTCTCTTGTGTGAGCACTACGGTATCCATTCATTTTCAGAAGTACGGCATGAAGGACAGTTTGACTCTTACCATAAACCATGCACGGTACTGCACGTACTCACAATCAATCTAAAATGCTAACGGGGAATGCAACAGGGGGGGTGACTGAAACGAAGCGAACGGAGTCAAAAAACGTAAAGCAGATGAGTTTTCTCTTGACACCGTTCCAGCATCAAACTGGTAGAGGTACGGTTGCATCGATGAATGCATACCAGAAATGTAATGACAATTCTACTCCTCATACAGAAGAAGGTAAGAGTATCGACGTCTTGCTAACGGTGCTGGAGTGTTTTTCCTGGGTCCGGAGGGGCGTCCGCTTTGGGCCGATGAGGCGGTACGTTCTGTACATTGTGTCTTTGTCGAATCCACTCTAAAGATAAGTTTCGGAACGGCTTTATCACGCTAATAATCAGTTTATGCAGGTGACTCCCCTTTCTGCTCGGCTTCATGACCTTTTAAGAGTAGAGGTGTCAGTGTGCGCGGATAGAGCCCAAAAAGACTCAGGCATACAGTAATTGTGGAGACAGCAGCTTTGGAACATCAAAAAAAGCCATGGTAGCGGGTAGGGAGCAGACGGACGCGTGAAGCACGTTGAACACAGTTGCCTGAAAGCGCCTTCAATTGTGGCTGGGAAGAGGTGAGGGCAACTCTATGGGAAAACCACTCATGGCGCTTACCAGCGAGCGCTGTGAGAAAGTTACAGTTATCATGCGACAAAAAGGCGGTAGCTAGCGCTGCGTCAAAGGTAAACAACATGATGTACTAGACGGTGCCGCAATGGGGAACGCACATCCCACTGCAACGTTCAGCAAACGGTATATATACCAGCTATAAGCTGAATTAGCAAAAGCCGACAGCTCTTCAGTAAAGCCCGATGGCTCTGATGGCTCTTCACTAAAATGCGATGGCCTCGGTGCTGGCTACTGCTCACCTGCTCGCCATGCAATAGCTGTGCCGTCATTACAACCGTGGGGCGCTGGTAGGGTTTTCATAAAAAAAGGCCGCTCTTCCTCACAACAATGGTAGTACTATCAGCGGGTCATGGAAACTTCACAGAATAATACGAAGATTTATAAAGCCACCGAACCGCACTGTGAGCAGCACGCTACCAACTCTGCAGCTGAGATTTGCACCTTAAAATTTGTTCGATCATTCCAAAGTAGGTTCTTTATTCCTTGAATGAAATGGTACCTGTATTTTTCCTTTGGAATGAATGCATAGGCGATCGGATATCGCAGCTGCCGTGGAGACGGCCCAGCATGAGCCTGAAGGGATGTGACATCAAGTCTTCCATCCATAACACCTCAGAAACATACCTGTCGGATCCTTGACTAAGCGCTACGTACCACAGTTTGCTTGGTCACGGATGTAAAAGAGTGACGTGCAATTGGCCCACACTTTTCGACCATCAAAGCTGTAAATGCGGTTATGACAGAAACAGGTACAGGCCGGAGTGACCCTTTCTTAGAACTAACATGGACCAGTCACATTTATGAAACATATTCCCTAAAAAGGGCCAGTTTTGTTAACCGTCAAACATAGTTGTGGATCTATAGGCCTGGTACCCGCGGCAGGACTAGTGGCAATGCGAGCGCTCGTGCTCTCATCGTGTGCAGCCCCAGGTCTGTAATGTGCAGGTTTAGAGCGCCCATGAGGGTTTGGGGTGCCTGCCTTCCCTAAACCCCGAGGAAAGCTTGTGACGGATGTTCAAATAACTATTCACGCCATTCCTCACTTCAGTTTTTGTGTAGCAGTTTTGGCAATCTTCGACTTTGGGGGGGGGGAATCGAGTGAAACTCCGCGAAGCTTGTAGGCTGCATTGTGAAGACCGGTGAATTTCTGTGACAGGATTGGCCCATTTTGTACTTTGCGCCTTCAAAAGAGTTTGAAGGTTTAACTCAATTGAAATGTGTTACTTCACATAAACTAGCAAAAGGGACCAGCAAAAGTGCAAAATACCCACCCTCTTAAGCCAAAGAGCGCCGTGACCTATTTTGCATGTTCAAGTGAAAGATAGCCCAGTAGGCAAAGAAATGTCAATTTTCAAGCAGTTGTGACGACTTTGAACCTCAGTTCTTTAAGAGTTGCCCAACCAGCTTTAAAAATGAGTTCACCACTACAAATGGTCGTCCTTTAATCAACTGATTTTGAATAGAATTCAAAAGACAAATTCGCAAAAGAGTATGCAGGCGAAATCTACCTCTTTCTTTACCTTGTCGAGGAGCCTGAACTGGAGCCCGCGAGAGCTATAGTCACAAAGAAATCCGAAACGATTTTTTAAGGAACGGCCGGTGAGGCTGACAAGAGAGCCGGTTCCGGGGATGTCCTCGCCGTTGTCGTGCGGGTCATCGACAACAGGGTTCTTGTTCTGATTGATGAACTTCAAATCCATTAACCTACTTCTGAAGTTATGACTATTTGGTGTTATTTCAACCTGCAATTGAGCAATGGCTTAGCGGATGTTGTCATGGATTCCACAGAACCGTGGGGTTACCTCAAATAGATTTTGCCTCTTCTTAAGGTACTCGACGAGCTTTTCACCGGTCAGCACTTGCGCTTCCAACGGGATCTCCTCAGCCTTCAATGCAGCTGTAAGAATTAGATGATCAACTGAGTATTAATCATTCAAAGAATACTGGGGTCAGAGAAGTGACTAACCGAGCAAGTCTGCTTCGGAGGCAGAAATTCCTCGGCACAGGTAAACGCAAAACAATAAAAACACCAAACGCTTCTGGAACAGTGATAGCTACATATAGAAAGTTCCTCTTACAAAGAAAATTAAAGGAGAACTCACCATTGCTGGGCGTTAGCCGCTTCATCATCATTCCGCTTATGATTCGGGGCGGTTTGCTGTTGTGAAGGATTAAAGTTTCAGTTCTGATAAAGAGAGTGGAGAATAATTCAATGTCTGACACTAGGAAAATCCGAGGCCTGATTCAGAGTGCAAACAGTTTTAGGAGGAGTAATCCAGCCCACGGTCAAACAGTCTTCATGAGGCTCACGTTTACTCCCACCTCTTTGGTACCTATAATCGCTTTATCATATATGAATCTGATACTCACCTTAGTTTTCTCCCATTTTGATTTCGCCGCTTTTGACAAACTACGTGAATGTAATGTAACTTTAGGCGCTGTAGTGTGACGGTTATGCCGATTGAACGGAGCCCCTTTGGATGGGCCTGTATGTGATATTCGTAACTGTATAATAGAATGAGATCGTATGCGATATTCGGAACTGTATAATAGAATGGGATTGCCTTGACACAGGCTCTACCTTCTATCGTGCGGAACATAAGCAATAGAATTTTTGCGTCTTGATTCAGATTTTTTTGGTCTGGTAGCGAATATACATAGTGAATTGAGAGAGAAGTAGAAATTCAAGAGATTATCAATGTGGCAACTAGCACGGCCCAAACTCAGCTGGTAATTTCGTCAGGAATTCTTTCGAGCCTGATTTTTTTCATAGGGCAAGCTAGAGAGAGAGAGTGGCATTTCCATGTCTAACATCCTCCTCTGACGGGACTCCTATCGGGTGCCGTTTTCCTATCGCTTTCCTGTAAACCAAAGTTTTTGTTTCTGTCTTGTGGCCTTACCGATAGTTCAAGAGCTAGCTGACGAGATGTGTTGACCCGTCAAAGTCCTGGTAAGTGCATTAATTATGTATCCATTATCAGTAGGATCTCGCTTGGCTAACATTTCGATCTTAGTCGACATTGACTTAGAATAATCTAAGCCCATGGAAGTCGAGAGAAAAACTACAAGAAGAGAAAAACTACATGAAGTAATCCATCCATACACCGTTAAAATTATCACATTATACATTGAACTCGATTCAAAAGTCTGGAAGAGACCCTAATTAGAATGAGCTGACCTACTGGAGATGGGCAAGCTTGACCGAACAACACTGAATCCAGGTGGCTAACCGCTTTGCGCTAAATACTTGTGTCATCAGCAACAGCGATAGAGCTGATAGTGATTTTATTATAAACTAGTCCTATTGCGGCTCGAAGACGGACCCGGAGTGGTTCTTTTCGTTTCTGTTCTAAAAATTGATAAGGCTAAGATGACCACAGGCAGACTGCCTATCCTCTCATTGCTTATCAGACCTCAAACTGCTCTATCATCAACACGGTTTCTATTTCCTTTCAGGCTTGTCACCCGCACATGGCCAGATCAAGATAAAACCAATCGTTCATTTCATGAGTGGC